TGATTTGACGTGAGGTGTGCTTTTCGAGACTCCGGATGACTTTTTTGTTCGACGCAAGAAGCTCAGAGGTCACCCAGAGTGAGAGTAAAGCTGGGTTTAGACAGGGCAAGTCAATTGATCAAGTCAGTTGAATTCAACTGACTTGAACGTGAATTGAACGTGTAAACCATGCCATTCAATTGACTTGATCAACTCACTTGAATTGAAAAAAGTTGAACCAGGCTCAACTTTTCAAGTCAATTGAATTCAACTGAGTTGATCATTTGACTTGCCTAGTCTAAACCCAGCTTAAGAGCGTGTGATAGAAAACATGAACATGAATGGCAGCAAACCTCACTCTCATTTTATTCCCCTTCGCTCACAAGCTCTGAAGCTACACTCGGCTCATTTCAAACTCCCGAGTGAGGCTCCATCAAGCCTGACAAGGAGCTTGAAGCATTCGTTAAAAATACCAAAACAAGCGGACTCCTCTATTAGAGATCCATCTGTGAAAAACGTTCTTGCAGAATTAACATGGACAAACTTTGCAGAGTAACCCTGCCTCTAAGAAAACTAAATTGTTAGTTGGATTATGTATGTATGTTAAAATGTAATCGTTGAACTAAAATAAAATGAATTCGTTACATCTTTAAGTTACGGAAAGCTAACCTAGCTTTTGACGTCTCTCTGAGAAGATCCGAAAGGGGAAAATCCAACAATCATAAAGAATTTGGATGGTAATTCGCCATTGGAACTGCGAACAAATGCCAGAGACGGAAAGAACCGATGTCCTCCCAATCGAACAATGTCAACGATATAATGCGATACGACCACTGTCGAGACTGGTACCACTTTGGATGTGTCAATGTGGACGCCAGCATCATCAGACGGGAATGGAGTTGTGCTGAGTGCGAGAAAATCGTTGGAGCAATGGCTACACACTTGGAAAAATTGATGTAAATTTAGGTGCTCTGAGACTGACATATACGAGCGTCAATTTTGACATAAAATTGAATCATAATAGGGGTGAAATTCAGTTCAATCAAACGTACTTTCGAACTTTTCAGTCTCGAGGCACTTAATTTTACATGACATGTTTGTTTACGTCTCATCTTTTATGTCAAAGATTGATTCCGTCACGTGTAAGATTAGATATTTCTAAGTGTGTACGATGGGCAATTCTACGGTTTTTTTTAACTCCAATCACAACCATAGGGCGTAGTCAGGTTTCCAGCTGGAAACCTGGCTACGCCCTTGATCACAACCAGGCATGGAAAATCATTTGCATTCATTTCATACATCCATTTACATTCATTTGCCTCTAACTTTTTTCTTCAACAGCATTCCGCAAAATGATGTATAGATCTTTTGATGGTTTTATTATTAGCTACATGTTTTGCTAATAACTCAAATCTGTATCTCTTATGCATCACGAACTAGAGCGGGCAGAACTTGTTACTGTTTTTCAGTGAATGTAAAATACATTCGCTGAAAAACAGTAGTGGCTTCTGTTCGCTCTGCTTCGTCATGCATAAGAGATACGGATTTGACTTGTTGACAAAAGTTGTAGCTAATGACAAAATCTACAAAAGTTTTATACATAATTTTGCGGAATGCTGTTGAAGAAAAAAGTTAGAGGCAAATGAATGTAAATGAATGCACGAAATGAATGCAAATGATTTTCCATGCCTGATCACAACTACGATCATCACGTCGACGTATGGAAATGCAGTTGATATGCGGAATGCGCAGATGAAGATTCTCTAAGAACAGCAAGATCTTCTTGAGCGAGAATTCCACAGTGATTTGAGATTTGGGCGTAATTTATTTTGTAAACAAACACTTCAATCACCGATTTCTCGCGAATAAATGAAAACTAGAAAACTAACACCACGATCAGGTAAATGAATAATATCTCTATCATTTGGTATACTTTATTCGCGAGATTGAGCTATCATTGACGAGAAATCGGTGATTGACGTGTTTGTTTAAAAAAAACAATGACGCTCAAATCTCTAAGTTCTCAAGAATTGATGATGCAGCACGAGCAAGAGTTGGCGAGGAAGAAAATGCAGCTTCCCAAACTGACCGTGACGTCGTCGATCACGCCCTCGTTTGGTTGTAGTTCCAATCAAGAACTGTAGCAGTTTCGAATGTACCGAAGTTTGACGAATCGCTACCTCCAACTAGTCAAGTCACTAAGGCCGCTCTACAGATCAATTCAAGCATTCCGTCGAGATGACTACCAAATGTGAACCAATATCAGCAATTCCAAGTGAGCGATAGCTTGGCTCCTGCGAGAGTTTATGGTAGTTCCTTTACGATCCCTCGTGAGGGACAACTTGACTCCTGCGTGAGTCAATGGATGCCTTGAGCGGTCCCTCGTGAGGGACAACTTTACTCCTGCGTGAGTCAATGGATGCCTTGAGCGGATGATCCATTATAATCCCTTATTAGGGACAGCTTGACTCCTGCGCGAGCTGATGCATGCCTTGAGCGGCAGATTCATTACAAGCTTTCGTACGGGACTGCTTGATTCCTGCGTGATATGATAGATGCCTTGTGAGGAAAATCCATTGCGAGTCCTCATAAGAGACAGTTTAAACTTGATTATGTTCGTCCACCATCGGTATATTTTTGAGCTTCCAGGGGAACAACTCCCGAATAAGAACGGGCATTGACTCACACTCTCCCGAAATCAGAAAAAAAAAAACAGAAGCTTCCTATGACTATAGGTAAACAAACATGTTGAGAAATTTGTGAATTAAATTCAGATAAGATATAAAAAACCTAGTGAAGAAAACAAGAACTTCAACCAGCCATTCTTTATACCAACGTGCTTGAAGTATCATCAATTTTGTACTGCCATTGAGCCTGATCCAAACACTAAAGTTAATGAATAAAACATGAACTGTCATGTGAACAGCATTTCGTTTCTATTTGCTTGTCTTCCTAGTCTAAAATTCAAAGTTGTGACAAAAAGTGGTGCTACGCTGTACAGGCGAGCCAAGTAACAGAACTTGCCTGTGATTTAGCCGCTCTCAAATACACTGGTGACACCACCCCCTTACAAGCAAAACGTCCAATCATGTGCAACAAACAAAGAGCCATCGAAACCGAACCAGAGTCTACTACTGTGAATCCAAACATCCATTTAACATAAACACATACACAAACTTAATTTAATTTGGATAAAGATAAACATTTTCACTGGTTGTATGCACACTGCCTCCGGCGATAGACCCAGTGCAGTTTTCGAGTGCTATGGCACGTTCACAAATATTTAAAATTAACAAATTAGACATTTTTCTGCAGCATGTGGTCACGGTCACCCGTAACGTTGTTTACACAAAAGCAAAAGGTGCCACAGGGGGATAAAGCTGCTAGAAGCATGATTGGTTTGTATCACTTCGCACCGAAATGTAGTAGGAAGTGAGATTAACATTTCAAAATTTGCTAGTACCGTAAAATGGGTGAAATTAATCACTACAACGTTCAATTTTCGTATCTAAACAATCAAATGTACACTATGGTGGAAATGATGAAATATGCAACTTCCAACTGTTCCTAAAAATTCCTATCAGAATTAGCATTTATTTTGGTGCAGTTCTACGACATTCAATATTTTACATAATGTTGAGTCGCTGAACCCAAATCTGAATTCAGATTTCGTTGAAATGAACGATTTAGTATCATAAAAATGATCTTATGTGAAAGATTTATGCGTGTCGGAGCCGTACCAGACGGGGGGTGGTGGGACTTCCTAGTTCTCTTGCGGCAAAACTAATCGTGTCCTGACTAGACAGGAAAGGGAAAGGGTGCCACTCAAACAGGAACTCTTCGTAAAATGAGTGTTCTGCTCAGGCGCTTGGGATAACGAAAAACTTTTCTTGTCCTGATAAGGACGGTTGGGATTCCGCAAGCCCGTCGACAGCAAGCACTCAACCAGCGGTGGACTGTATTTAAAAACGCTGTACTACTCCTCCTCAGTTGAACACAATGCCGAATCAGAGGATGTTGTAAAAAAACTAGGATAGCTTTATTTATTTATTTTTCTCTAGTTGTATACAGTTTGACAATTAAAACCATACTAATACTAATGCCACTAGCTTCGCTGCTTTTATACTATTGTGCTGCTTCTTCTTCATCTTCTGGTTTTCGCCTTGCTCGATCGTTGGTTGAGAGAAATTTAACAAATGGGTGGGGCTTACGACGGTCACTGACTGTCGTTCGCGTTTGGGCGTGAACAATGCGAGTTACCTGCTTTAGGTGTACTTTTAGCAGTTTCTTGTTCAGCTGACACAAATCAAGTATAATTGCTAACTCCTGAATATTGCATTGCATAAAAACCTGCACGATCAACTTCACCTGTTAGACTTCTTTTGTATGGGTCGTTTTCAGGGTCGTTTGCTTTCTCCAGAATGGCATCGGGCAGAAATGCTTCCCAAAACTTATCCAAGGTGAAGATCGAAAGAAGATGAAGGAAATAAGGTATTGCGTGTTTAAATGTAGGACTAAATTAGAAAAACTAGGGGAAATGGATATAATGTTGGCCTAAATGCCCCTAATTTGGGCCCATATATAAAATCAGCAATCGACTTATTGTTCAATAGTGACTCAAAATATCCATTAGTACCGTCCCAATGACGCGTTCATCTACATAAAATTTATAAATAGAAGATTTTTAGCGATGGGTCCAATCTTACATAGGCCAACATTAGAGCCATTTCCCCTATATAGTAAAAAACCTTATGTTTGAATTCGTTCACCTTATAGAGGGCGATCCAGCAGTAGTAAAATTATGTTTATTTCTGTTGATTATGATAGTACATTGATTTAACATTTTAATTGATTAGCCTACCTGGCTCTTCATCTTTGATTAATTTGATATTCTAATTTAATATTTGCGTGTTTCAACTAGTTTACAGAATACCCCATTGGGGGTGTGTTTTGTTTGAATTAAAAGAGGGCAACCCACCGTTGACAGCCTCTTTTATGTCGGCCTCGATGTCGATCGTCTACTATAAATATCCCGACTCTGGCTGTGGCTGTGGCTGTGGCTGTGGCTGTGGCTGTGGCTGTGGCTGTGGCTGTGGCTGTGGCTGTGGCTGTGGCTGTGGCTGTGGCTGTGGCTGTGGCTGTGGCTGTGGCTGTGGCTGTGGCTGTGGCTGTGGCTGTGGCTGTGGCTGTGGCTGTGGCTGTGGCTGTGGCTGTGGCTGTGGCTGTGGCTGTGGCTGTGGCTGTGGCTGTGGCTGTGGCTGTGGCTGTGGCTGTGGCTGTGGCTGTGGCTGTGGCTGTGGCTGTGGCTGTGGCTGTGGCTGTGGCTGTGGCTGTGGCTGTGGCTGTGGCTGTGGCTGTGGCTGTGGCTGTGGCTGTGGCTGTGGCTGTGGCTGTGGCTGTGGCTGTGGCTGTGGCTGTGGCTGTGGCTGTGGCTGTGGCTGTGGCTGTGGCTGTGGCTGTGGCTGTGGCTGTGGCTGTGGCTGTGGCTGTGGCTGTGGCTGTGGCTGTGGCTGTGGCTGTGGCTGTGGCTGTGGCTGTGGCTGTGGCTGTGGCTGTGGCTGTGGCTGTGGCTGTGGCTGTGGCTGTGGCTGTGGCTGTGTCTGTGTCTGTGGTTGTGGCTGTGGTTGTGGCTGTGGCTGTGGCTGTGGCTGGTGGAAGTAACGCTTGGCGGGATGTATTTGGGTTGAGAACAGGGGAATAGGGATGAGCTGAAATTATTTTCTCATGGTGGTTTCGACTGGTTGATTGGAATCACTTTATGGGGTGGCTTTCTCAGTCTTTTAGTAGAAACGATTATTTTTTACGTTCCCGACGTTTCGACCGTTTGGTTGTGGTCTTTCTCAAGAGAAAGACCACAACCAAACGGTCGAAACGTCGGGAACGTAAAAAATAATCGTTTCTACAAAAAGACTGAGAAAGCCACCCCATAAAGTGATTATTTTCTCAGTCACAATCACTCAGCTCACTCACAGACGTGCTTGCTTTGATGGTTTTTCTTGATTTTTTTTTTTTGATTTTTTTTTTTCCACTTAAGGCCCAAGCGCAATGACGGCGGAAGCGGAACGGCAACGGCAGCGGAAAAGCCCGATCTGAGTAAGCCTACTTGTCGGATTGAAAACTAGTTAGAAATCATCTCAATTTTATGTGGTATGGTCGTACCATCTATTATATTGTTAGTGTATGGTACCCGTTTATTAGGGGATGCTTGGGACTAGCAATCATCCTCAATGTGTAAAAACTGGTGATCTTAAACTAGGCAATACCAACGCCGGCCGCACCCGATCACAGGTCAAGAAAGGAAGGGGTAGTAATGTGTTGACGTGACACTCGCTTAGTATCACGATGAAATCATCTTCATAAGAGAAACATTCAACAATCTTGAAAAAACCGTTGAATGCTTAACTTCTCAAATGCTTCTTTTGAAAAAGAACATTGAGGCATTTGAAGCGCATGACCGCTTTGGCGAATCATTTCTCTCAGCAGCGGAAGTAGCAGTCACATTCAACGAGTCGGATGTTGGAGCTTCTCTGACTGGAAATGTCAGTAACATCGAAGACGTGGACCACAGAAACTAATATTTTTTTGTTTTCTTTTGAATTTACCATAACAATTAAAAAATCAGATCACATTCGAATCAAACAGTTGGGTTTGTTAATACTTCCGTCACTGCTAGATCAATATGTTTATTGTGGTTATCTTGATACGTCCTCTTCAGCTTTCGTTTGATCATCCCAAATACAAATTCTATCGGATTGAAAAAAAGGGCAGTAGGATGGCAGGAATATGGCATAAATGCCCAATGACCGGAGATAGGAAATTACTGCAGCGTCGCAATGAATCCTAGTACCATCAAGAATCCAAACTGAATGGAACCCAGGGTAGCACTGAACCGTTCCAGATTCCAAAGCAAATTTTCTTCAGCATTCGTTAAAAGTCCCTTCTGTCGAGAATGCTTCAGTTAACCCTTTCTTTTCCAATGACGCATAACAGTGATATTCTGGGTTTTCTGAAAAAAATTCCCCCTACAAATCAAACGTTCACCTCTTACTCTGTATCCTCAAGATCTAAGCATTGGCCTATTATCAGAACTAACTTCATCCAGGAAGATTAAATTTTGATAATTCCAACGTGTCTCCGAACAACCGCTTTCGTTCGTCCAGATAAAGAGTCGGTTTGCAGCGATACAATTCAACCAGCCATGTTCGCTTATCTGCACCAATTTTTTTCACGTCGCGTTCGTATTCCTTTCGGGAAAAAAATCCGTTCTGTTGATACGTTTGTTAGAGCGGTTCGATTTGCTTTGAGCTAACTAATTATAAAGAAATACAAAAATTTCACTAGCAGTAAAAACAAGAAAGTAGAAATGTTTTTTGCGAAAGAAGCAGCAGTACTACAGTACTTAGTACTACTGCAGTGCAGTAGTTCAAGTGTCGCTCGTGTTATTGGTCTCGCTGTGGGAAAACCTGATCAGAGCTAGACCTGACGCTCCTTCTCCAACGAACCAAGTCTCTGGATACGAGTGCTCCGGCAGGTGAGCAAACACCCGGCCGTCAACGACCAGGACGATTGCTACAGCTAGAAAGCAGCAATATGTTGGCTTGCCGTCAAAAGATGCAGAGTTGTCCGAGTCCAGTATCATCCAGCTACGATGCACGAAAACAATGATATGCTGTCATATAAAGCAGGGAGTGAACGGAACAAGTGTAATAGAAGTCTAGTTCTGTAATATGAAATCAATGATCCTGATAACTCAAGACCAATAATTGAAAAGGCCTCAACTCCATTTTGTAAACAAACCTTTTAAGGCCATTTTCTCGTGAACCGAAACCTACATTCGCAAACCTAAACCACAATCGGGTAGAGAAGAATTTCCTCTACCTGTTCATTCTGTTATTTTGCCTTGGCGTACTTCGGTTCGCGAGAAAATGGCCTTACAAGGTTTGTTTACAAAATGGAGTTAAGGCCTTTTCAATTGTTGGTCTTGAACTTATAAAACACCTAACATCATCACCAATTTCTTCACAACAATGGTAGGCGTTGTCATGGCAACCACATATAAAATTTTGACAGCATCCTGAGCACTTGAACTAAACATAGAGCGATATAAGAGAAATGCCAAAATATCTTATAGTAATCCTCCATTACTTCTTCGAAGGGACGTATCAGCTTTTGTAAACAATGCATTTGGTCGTTGATTTGGCGTAACCGGTAACTCATTCACGCATGCTAGCACTACCATCAGATAGAGGAAATCTTCCCGTACCTGGTAGCGGGGTTAGTATGCGTGGACGGGCTACCAGTCACGCCAAACCGACGATCAAATGCATTGTTTACAAAAGCTGATAAGTCCCTTCGAAAAAGTTATCGAGAATTTACCATTACTTATTTGTTCACGTTTTCTAGATACAAAACTATAATTCAAAAGTGATGAAAAACTAAATGAGACTGATATGCGAGTACCGGCAGTGAACTTTTCAGTTAAAAATATAGTTTGCTGTTTTTCAGTAAACCGATCATGATCCAGCCATCCGTATTACTTAAATTGAAATCAAAATTTAGGTGTCAAACTTTTCGCCACTGAAATGAAATGAAATGAACTGACAGGTGAAATATCATCATGTCTGCTCTGGACATTCGTTGAGACAGCTTGACGGAGATAAGGCGTACTTTAAGAACAATTTCACAATTCCAACAACAACAACAACAACAAAAGTAACAGAAAGGGAGCAAAGAACGAAATTGCCAACATCGCTTAATTACCACTTTTGATTGAAAAAATGCTACAAAAACATGTCTCGAATGACAAAATAAGAACAAGTCACACCAGACTGATGGAGATCAGTTACAAAATGTTTTGGTGAATATCTCGAGGGGATAGAAACTGAAACACGTAATTGAAAAAGTTCATGGAATCAATGTTGAAGACACAGCTACCTTCAAAGCATCGATCGAAAGGGCGTACAAAAACAACAACAAAATGTCGACTAAACGACATCGGCTCTAGGAGAGCATGTTTACAAGCGATTAAAAGTGAAGCGACAGCATCACATTTATGAACTTGAAAAGTTGTTGTTGTTTTCGATGTCAACTTTCTGCTGTCTTTCCGGATGGGTGCCGCAAAGTGGGTAAATCGATTTAATTTAACTTTTCGCACTCGGTGATGGATGGGGTTCACATCATTAATTTTTTAGCAGTTTAGGTCATCAAATATTTCATGGTTGTTTGTAAATAACTTTATCGGATCATTAGCTTGCAATATGCAAAGCTGTGGTTACAAATGTGTTGTGTACCCTTGAGAGCAACGTTTGCTCTTCGAGGGATGATGGATTACAATAAATAGAGAATTATCTGCACAAGAGCAACTTTTCTGCGCCAAACCATTGCTTCATAATGAACTGAATGCAGCATCCATGGTACAAAGTGATTTATGGACTTTTACGCTGAACCAGACTGAAAGTTAGCATCTAGCTTGCAACATCCAGTGCTATCACTGGCAGAACTGTGATTAATATAGTGATTGCAGTGATAAATTAAAATCAAGCTGAAAATATGGTTGGATTAAAGTTTTTTAAGCAGTAATTTATTGTTCGTAATAGATATCAATCATCGCTGCAATAAACCTGTCTCCAAACGGCAGATTTTGTACAGCATCTGTAACTTACATTTGTTTTATACTGAGGGGAAGCAAGAGCAGAATGTAGAGAAATAACTTTCTGAACAGAAACTGCAAGTATCTGCTGGTACGAGAACGGACCTTATATGAGAGTCCTACATTAAAGAAAGTTATTTGTAATACAGGAAATTAATTCAACTTCATCTATTGATACATTATCAATTCAAGTGTAACTTTTCAAAAAGGGCAAATGTTGCATTGGATAAGAAATTATAAATAGGGGATCAGATGCCAACAGAAGATTTGATCTGTTTCTGCTTCAAGTTAGAAATAGGCCACATTGCCAGATTTTACACATGGAAAAAGTTGGATTGGATTCCCGTTGTTTATTTTCAAACCAATTTAATGGAATAGCATATTACAAAAACTGTAAACATGAAAAGAACTGGTTGTCCTAACTGGTTGGTTGTAACCAAGAATTTTTCAGTCTGTAGTTGAGCTCACTCATTGAAGTTTTTTGGGATTGTCGAAGATTAGGATCGAAGGAGTATTGATTTTCGTTGCCTTATCAGACCGTTTTGTCGCCATTATATTAAAAGTAGTGCGGTTTGACACTGCAAACAATTTAACACGCCTGATCGCAGTGTTTAAACACTTGATTTTTCATATAGTTCAATGTGTTCTACACGTTGATTTCTAGTGTTTGAAACTTTGAAATGTTTATAACCTTTCTCTATCAATTTAAGTGTCTTGCACATTGAATCACACTACTGTTCAAAACAGATGGATTTGATGGATGGAAGTTGTCGTGACTTTTCCGCAACATTTCACTCAGTCACACGAGCAGTCACCGTGTTCGTCCGTCAATGTCACATACAGGTCACGACAGAAGTGTTTTGCATTTCAATGCGATGTGAATTGCTTGTTCTGCAAGGTAAACAACGAAAACATGAGTTGTGACTTCATCCTTATCAACCAACTTCATATATGAGAACAACCGTGGCCCAATGAGATCGAATGAAGACAGCGGCACCAGCATACCCACACAGTCCAGGATCAATTTCCAAATCAGACCCATTGAAAAGGGCATGAGTAAGATTTTGGAGTCGGTAAAGTAGAATGTTGTAGACCATTGAACTATGATGGGCAAAGCTATTGATATCACCATGTGAGGCACATAGACTCCAAGTGTGTCACAATTCGAACCAATAGTGTTGAGGCATCGTTCACAGCATAAGATTCACACATACTCATAGTATTTCATGGGCAGACATGAACTGCGTCAGGTGGATAGAGATGAACTAGCCTAAGGCTAAAAATCTCTTAAATAAAGAATTTAAAAAAAAATGCGTCAGGTGGAACTTGACATCTCCGTGCTTTCTGTTCACCCAGGTCGAAAGAACCGGTATTAGTCTATGTGTCCATCTACCGTTCTCCGCCGTGTTCCACTCCTGTTGCCGCTTAGTCAACGACTCCGCTTTCACCACTTTCCGTACGATTCCGGCATCTCTCCGCCTTTAGCACTCGCTGTCCTCAGCCAGGATGATGCCGATAGGGATCATTCCGGCGATAACGCATACTGCTTCCGATGATATGGTTCTGTCCGCACTCGCGAATTGCATGGCCATGAGCCGAAATGTAGTCCTCAGTTTTTTTTCGTTCTGCTTCGTTTCCAGCGCTGCAACCCAGACTGGTCCTTCATACCTCAGTATCGACGACGACTCACTGGTCAGAAGACGCCTCTTACTACTGCTAGAACCAGAGTTTTTTTTTCCTTTGGTTTGTTTTTTCCGTCGATCTTGTTTTCCGTGCTGAGCACCAATGCTACCGACGTGCCAGGAAGGCAGCTCCCACACCTGGACCCTACCTATCGACCCATCAAGTCATGAACCGGGGACCACCGGCTTTACTTCCCATCCGAAGGAAGGCGTGATCAGAGATGTTATGCCTCAGAACATCCCGGCGGCGCCGAGTGGGATTGAACCCAGGCCTGCTGGGTGAGAGGTAATCACGCTTACCACTACACCACCGGCGCCGTTAAGAACCAGAGTTGTTCGGCATGATTCTAGTTATCGCGTTGATGGCCTTCAACTCATAATCATATGCGACGTGGTTATTGAAGTTTAGCCGGTTATCGAAAATGACTTCCAGGCTATTACGTGCTCCCCGACGGTGACTTCTACCCACTGCACCGCTTTACATTTACTGACCAATAGCATTTCCGTTTTGTGATGGGTAATCTGCAACTGCGCGTTTGACCAAGGATGGAGCCTTGTGGAACTCCCGCTCAATTTCCTCTCTACTTCTGTTTAGACGCCTTCTCGTCTCTCTCGACCACTATCCAAATTGCATCAACCGTTGATTTTCCTTCCCGGAATCCGAACTACCTCTTCGACAAGTCGTGCTCACTCTCCGTGCATTTTGTCAGCCTGTTTAGGATGATCCTCTCCAAGAGTTTTCCGAGTGTATCCGACAGGCATACATTCCTATACGATGCTGGGTCCCCGGCGGTGTTCCTGGTTTCAGCAACAACACTAGCTTCTGTATCTTTCACCTGGCCGGGAAGCGACCCTCGTCCAGGCATTTCTGCAGCACCATTCTGAACATGTCCGGGGACGCCTGGAACGCCACATAAGGGATTCCATCCGGACCGGGAGCTTTCTGCACCTTCAGTCCTTTCACCACTGCTACGAGTTCCGTTGATAACTTCGACGCTATCTCCCTCTCTTTCTCCGTACGGTGCAGGTGGTCAGGGTCGTGCTCTGTCCACACATCGTTTTCGTCCTCTTTTTTTGCAGAGCATGCACCTCGATTGCTTTGTTCAGCCTCTTGTTATGTGACCCTTCTCTCCGCATTTCCTGCACAGATCACAGATGACCGAAACCCATGCACTTGCAGCTTGGTAACCCGAGGAGTGGCTCTCAGCGAGCACACTGACCATCCAACCTTGACCATGCCCTTCTCCAACAGCTTGTTCGCTGCAATTGTTGAAATGCGTATCACCGTCGTTTCCATGCCGGCGTACGCCTTCCTTATCCGGATTGACATCAGGACATCTCCTAGATCACAGTGCACCTTCAATGCACTTCTCAGCTCCTCTTCTGTAGTGAACCTCGTCCAGATCCCTGCACTCGACCACTGTCTTCTGGGATAGAGGTCTAACGCTCGCACCTTCGCCAAGAGACTTGGCTGAGCTCTTGATCGAAAGATCCTTCTTCAGCTCAAAGAGCATCTCGCCTTTCTGGCTGCGAGTGGTTTTCACCACGTTCTCTCCTAGTTCCTTCAACCCCAGATCCTTTCGAACCTTCCAGAGAAGTGCTGCACACGTCGTTTTGCCCTTTGCTTCGACGATCAGAGCATTGTCCTGTAAGTAATAATCAATGGAATCGTCAAATTTTATTGGGGATAACAGAGCTAAGTATGTACATTAGACTGATGCAAAATTTGAAATTTTCGCTCCACAGTGCTTAAACGGTTTCAAATTGGGTCCTACTTAGCCTCACAAAATTTGAACTACTTTAAAAAGAAATTGACTTAGCACAAACCATTTCAAGTTTATATGGGAATCACTATGGGAAAACTAATGTTTTTGTTCATATCCATCTAACAATTGACCACATCACTATGCTTTTAAAAATGATAACAATGATTGTAGCAAATTTTCTCAGCTACAACTTTGTTGAACATTACCTTTCAATCAAATGTACGGAACAAAAGCTATTAATGATTCAAGTCACTAATGTCTTAAGATTATGCTCATTCAACTGTTCAGCAGGCAACATTGGTGATTCTGGTGCGCAGAATAGAGCATAAATATTATGGCTACTATGTCACACTGCAGAATACAGTGTTGCCCACAGAACAGCTGCTTGATCATGCCATAAGATTACCAATCTTTTAAACAATTAATAACAATTTAATTTGACATATGGCTGAAAAACTATATTCCGCAAAGTTGTAGCTTAGACAATCTTCCGTAAGAATAGTTACAGAAATTTTCGAAAAATCAATATGGAAAATGAATAGAAGACAATGAACAAAAAGTTTGGTTTTCCTATAGTAATTTCCATATTAACTTTGAATAGTTTGTGCCAAGGAAGTTTCTTACCAAATGAGTTTAAATTTTGGGAGACTAATCAGGACCTGATTTGAAACCGTTTGAGCACTGTGAAGCGAAAATTTAAAATTTTGCATCAGTCTAATGTACATGCTCGAAATAAATTTTCTCATTTTTTAATGTACCACGCATTTTTAAACTTCTACCGAAAATTTCTGCAATTTAAAAACCCAGTAAAACATTATTGACTGCATTAGTGTGTAGTTTAAGTTTACAAAATAATTTTATTTGTGTACCAGCACAAGAAGCCGGTAGCGGAATAGTGTATTGAAGTGAACATACAATTCAACTTAATTCCCCCACTATTGACTTTGTTTGGTGGAATATGGAAGTCCACCTCAGTGGGTCCAATCCAAAACTGCAAACTGCGCTAATGCAGGAAGAGGCAATACTCCACTCGCAAGTTTTGCGCTGAGTTTTTTTTATTATCCTATAGTTATCGCCGTTGTTGTAAGAATTGAGAATTTTGTATTTTGTTATTATTATAGTCTTTTTAACATTCTTGGGTCTTTCGTGACTTGTCCGGGATGAGATTTGAACTCGTGACTTTGGCGTGATATGTATGAATGGCGAAATTTTCTTAAAATTCTTTAGAATTTTCACTTCTCTTGAAAATATTAATCATTGGAAATCTAAAACATGGTGCCATTAGCTTCAGAAAACTAAATTTGTTATTGAAAAAAAATAACAACAGGTTGCGAGATTACCAACAGATAGCGAGCGTGGGATTTCCACTTTACACAAATTACAGATAGCTTTGTGAACTATCATCATTTTATTAATTACCCATGAAACCAGAAATGCTGCCAACAACACTGATATAATCACAATCTTCCAAATTTGTCTCTTTCAGCGATTTACCACCCAAATCCAATTTATTGCGACAAATTTAGCTTGATGGCAATTGCTTCTGAGATCCACACTTAGGCAATTTTGCAAACGTTCCTACCACCTACACCTGTTGTAGGGGCAACAGCAGCTTCTCAAATGCCCACTAGTCGACCAACTTCCTGCCAACAAGCTGGTTGTTTATTGCGGAGCAGATTCGCGTGATAAGGTTAAAGGCTCGCGCAAATGGCACTCTTGTTCACCATAATTCATTCCAAGGCTTTCTGATTTGCGTTGGCAGTTGTAAAATTCAACGGAAAAACCAACCTTTGCGAAAAGCTCAAGTTACCTCAATAAATTTTTCATGACCATTAAGTTTTCTTGCCCACTCAAGCGGAAGACAGGATACACACAACAATGGCTCGTTCGAAAAGATTAATTCAAATCCCGTCAAATGCAAATTCAATTACTTTTCTTATTCTTTACCCCTTGCCTACGAGCGCTGTGTTGTCCTTTCCGTTTCAGATCTTAGTTTTTACATTCCTTTGTAACCCCACCCGTCACAACTTCCGACGCCTTAACCTTCCTTTGTTTGCAGAAATTTTCGCGTAAGAGTTCCTTCAAGACGGCACTTAATGGGGTGTTTTCTAGAAGATGACTTGACAAAGCGGTAACTTGAGTGGCCAGCACCATTACAAGCAAATGCAAACTTAGCCAACACTGCCAACGTGCTGAGGAGTGTGAAAAGAATACTCAACTCGCAATCATATTAATTACGGAGAAAAGAAGCAACCCGAACAATGAATGGTAGAAAAGTTTATTTTTTGGCTAGATTCAGAATTACCCAGCAACAAAGACTGTAGCTGAGATTAAAAAAAAGGCCCCCAATGGAAGCCGGGTTAGAGGCACTATATATTTTCTCAGTACTTTCTCAACGAAAACTTTTCAAGTAGGGATCTTATTGATGCCGGAATCTCTGCCATTGAGCCACTGCCAACTAAGTTCCTGAAGAGTACCCAAATGCGCAATTATGATTATCACGTTTCTGACATTCTACCTTTCCTTCATTTCCATCCACTGTTCTTTTTGTGAAGCCAAATCATAGGAGTATAGTCAAGTTCCTCTCTCTTGTTTGATTGATGGGAATACAAGTGCAGAATATTATATTTGCGTATCAGCCGTTGCTAATGGTAATCCAAGCAAAACGAGCTCACTTCAACACATTTTTCTGTTAAGAATAAAATTTTAATCATCGCATTTTATACAGTTAGGGTAAGTGAGCCAGCTATGGCATATGCATCAGTTATAGCACAGCTTTGGCAGCTTAACACGATGGTGCATTTCAACGGATTCGATTTGGCAGATGACGTTACTTTTCTAGCCCAGCGACGCTCTGATATGCAGAGAAAAAAGTCGATAGTTTCCAGCCTCCTATTGAAATTGACCTGAGGTAGGTTTTAAAAACATAAAATCAGACTGACGTTTGTCAAAAGACCAGCAGCTCGGGAAGTGGTAGGAGTGGCGTGATCTGGACCCAAATGCACTACGACTTGCGACTCTCCAATAAAGTGCAGCAACGGTCAGTTTGGTGTACCAAGAACTAATAATTTTAGTTTATTATTGAAGATGACTGGTAGCATGTGTTAAAGCTGATGTATGAAACGTAACAAAGAATGTCGTTTTCGGTTATTTCTAGTGCGAAACTAGTTCCGCCCTTGATCCGCCCTAACAGCTGTCAAAACGTTTCTTTATTCGAGTGGGTTGGATCCAGATCCGCCCTGGGTCTGACTCAAACTTGAAGAGGTTCGCTCTGTCGATTTTTTGAGATCCAACCTGGGTTCACCAATACACACAAACGCTAGCTGTCAAAATCAAATGTTGTTTACATTATTCACCATTCGCGAATGTAATCGAATGTTAAACGGATTGAAAATCAGCATAGAAAAATTGAGGTAAGTGTTGTGATAAGATTGTTTAATTGTATTTAATTCGTACGTTTTCGTTACAGAACATGGAATTTATTGAAATGTTATTATCATCATCGTCAAGTTCGTCTGATGATGACTCCGACACCGAGATCTTGTTCAGTAATCTTGATTCCTCAGATGGCCCACAAAGGAAAAAAATAAGGATTTACAATTTCGTTGAAGATTTTGTGGATAACTACAGCGATGAGCAGGTAATTACCTTCATATTATATGTGTAAAATTAGTTTGGTTTTAGTAGGAGGCCTCCGGGGTTCCGGAAGTTTTCACGACAGACAAGGCAACAGTGGCCTCATCATTATTGTGCACCAGCTACCACATAGTGGTCATGTATTTATTACCGGGTTTTATTGGAATTGCTGTCTCAGGCCGAGTGACATTATTAATTACCATCGGCAATCGAAAGAAATTACAATCACCCCAGTATTATGGGCCAGCTAGACAATATTATGGGTCAGTCATTTCTGCGTGTTAATCAAATGGAAGTGGCCCATAATACTGTAATATTATCCCGGATTCAAATAGGCCACCCAAAACCAACCATAAATTGAACCAATATAATGTGCAAGTAAGCTTTACACTGAGATTTCTTAAATTTATTGTGCCTTATTTGTACCTGCTGCAAGTTTAAACTGACGATTAACATGTTGGAAGAGGCGTATGTCTCATCACGTCAATCTGTACAACAATTAATAATAAGACGGAATTAATAAATACCGGAACATTATATTTTTGCATTGCATCGATATTTTTCCTGATTTTCCAGAATAAACTCTGCTGCGATTTTAATTTTCCTATTTATTCCCCAGTTGCGAATAATAATTGGCCTTCGTCTTTTTTCTACATGCAATAGTCATCCTCAATAGTCATAGTTCTCTTGGAAGTAAATCTGGCGGAAATCTTCGACTTCCAAGGTAAATCCGTTCGTTTTGACGATTGCGAGGAAAATTCCAGGTTCAATTCTAATGAGTATCCCAAATAAGTTCAGACAATTCATAGTGATTTCTGAAGGAGTTCTGAGAAGAATTTCAAGAAAGTTCTGAGGTGAGATCTAAGAAAAACCCGAGATGAACTCGAGGGTAATTAGAAAGGGATTCTGAGGAAAGCTTCAAGGAATT